AATGACGTCTGTTAACACATTTGAGCCCATGCAGGCCCATATGTGGGCTGCAGTCTGTCAACCGTGTGGTACCTTACGACTCATATTTTGGAAGCGAACCATTCAAGTTTCTTTTATTCTTCTTTTCATTTCACTCAGTGAGATTTCGTCCAGATCATTAAATAGGTTTTTGTTCCCAATTTGCTCGATTAAATTCTAAAAAAAAACGTAGAACATGCGCGGTCTCCGACGTGTCAAGCTTTTGCGTGTTCTTTGTGCAAGGTTCGGGACATGACATCGCGAACAGGAAAAATCAGTGGACGACTCAACAGAAAACTGGGACTGAAAGTTCAAAGTGTGCAGCACCACCACACCATGAGTAAACAACTTACACAGCTTTTTGAACTTGCGGAGCTTCGAAAGTGAGTCCCGATAATCTGCAAAAAACTCTCGGATAAAGGCGAGGAACACCTGCAATATCATCGTCTCAGAAGTCATTCACTGTAATTTTGAGCAAAACAAACAGAATTTAGGCTTCTTCCACACAAAAAAACTACTATAGTATTTGATCGAAATGAAATGGAAAAAAATTTAGCATGTACCTGCCAAAACGCAGGCAAGGAGCTGTTTGCTTTCAATTTATCCACAAAATCTGCAAGCTCACGAAGTGCCACGTGCGTAGAAAAATACGGTTGGGCAATATTCATCAGCTGTAATGGACAACTTCTGATATGGAATCTATGGACAATTTTCAAACGATTGCTATAACTACGCCTTTTTTGCTCCACTCAGTGAGCGTCTGGGAATTGCCTGTAATACTAATATAGAAGTTGAGTGATTGATAGACAATAGGGAACGCACTAGCCATTTTACTTTTTTCCAGCAAAAACTCTCTTTCATCCAAGGTTGGGCCCACTGGTCAAGAACATCAGCTTGTGGGGTAAGATGAATTCTAGGAAATGTATCGCTGACTCATCTTACGCTATGTATTTAGCGCCGGCCATCAAGTGCTTTTCGGACCACACCATCTCGTACGTCCCCACTCGTCGCCTTTGTTCCCCCAACGACGGCACCTCCGACACTGATTCCGGCGCCGGATGCGCCTCACTTACTAACTGACAGAACACATCATAATTCCGCTCCATTTCTGACCAAGTTGATATTATGCGAGTGACCACGAAGATGTGAACCACGGGGAACTAGCCACCTTTGGAAATCTCCAGAAAGTGCTAAGTACGCAACAAACACCTCCGAGTGCAAAGATGGTCAGATATGCATGAATTTGTTGAGGGCTAATCGGATGAGTGGTTCTACACTGGTGTGCAAAACTAAAGGACGAGATTGATGAACTGATTTTAATTGCTTCGTGTACTCCACTGTGGCAGCTTTTTCTATGTGTGGTTAGGTTTCCTATATTTTGGTCTCGCCGTAAACGTCAATGAGTAAAGTACGGTCGCCTTAGTTTTGTACAAACATTGTATGTTCGTGGCGTGTTTCAATTCTGCCAGCAGCTGAACTTTAGCCTAGTAAATTTGCACACCTTCATGGCGGACGATGCCCTGCTATTATACATTATTTTATAATGGTTAAAGATATCGTATCTTATGTGACCTTTACTCCTATCTGTTGTGGACATCTTCTGCCCACACACTTTCAATCTGACACTTATGGCTTCCATAAGAATTAAGATATGGGTTCTTTCAGGAAAAATTCCGTGTTTTTGGTAACTCACTTTTGAACCCGTGAGTTTCTCTAAAAGTGTACACTCCATATTGTCAAGAGACGCGCGTTTCCAGGGTCGTAGAACTACGACGGCTTCAACCTGAAACACTTCTCTCTTCGAGCCCTTGAAATACAATCGTATCTCAGCACGCCGTTTTGCACGAGCATCTTGTTTCACCTCAAATTTGGTTGAAAAGTGTGGAAACAAGTCACGATGTCAAATGAGCATTTAATCTCGAATCCACAAGAAATTTGCTTTGCAGTCGTTATCCAAAATGTCTTTCTGCTCGCATGTATTTCGAAGAAGATTAGGGTGAAAATCGTAAATCGGAGACTGACAAAGATTAACCGAGAGTTTTGATCAAACTAAATCTGTATGAAGTGTTGAACAGGTCGCTTCCTAATTGAGCATAATAGGTAGGGGTTCCCAAATATCGGTTGCGCCAAAGAACTTCCGAAGAATGTCGATTAGATGAAGTGCCCGATTTCTTGTCCCCTCTTTCGAGTGCGACAGACCATCTCACTGTCAGTCGTGAACAGTTTAATAGCCTGAGAGGCAAAAAGTGTGTGTGAATCTTGCACAGTTGTCAAGCAACTAACACTTTACCAGTTGTCTGGATGGTTTCTTCATAGAGAATAAACGCTGAAACCCAACATGATGGTGGACTTCGCCAGGTTCGCCTACCGAACTCCAGCATGTCGAACACCCAAATCTATTTAACTTTTTTTTGGCAAAGGACTAGGGGTTGTAATAAATTTTATATCCGACGAAAAAGGTTAGGTTTGGACCGAGAAAAGCGCTTTTGAATTTGAAGGCAAGGAGAGCACAAGACCGCACGCGCATGGCGAGTGTAAATGTCCGCGCAGGAGAGCGTGACTGATCAGTCGAAAATCCTCAATGAGCCGTTGAGAAATATCAAGCAATATTTACCCTGCGTTAGATTCCGCAATAACTTCTTGAAAGTGCGTTATCCAAAAACCGATGGCCGCTCGAGGTACTTCAATTGCGCCATTTTTTTCAAATCAAAGAAAGGTGTAGTGCTTTTCAGACACTAAGGTCAATGATAGGAATTCGAAGAAGAATACTTATGGTGTAGATCATGTAAAAGGCAAGTTACACTATTCACTGCGCACGAAATCTGCCAACACATTGGTTGGTTATTTTGTATGTCACTTCTTGATACGCTGACATAGTGACTCCTACAACAGCAGTGTATTTTTGCCCCTACTACTTAATTAAAATATAGAAAAATGTACACTTACATGTTCCTCACTGTAACGAGAACGTGGGTTTTTGTCGCTATATTTGTAATGCCTATCTATAAGTATAGCGTCGTTGCGAACAGTAAAAAGCGGTTGATCATTGTAAGCACTTCGGTCCATCTTCGCGTAAGTCAATGAAAGCGAGTAGATGGAATACAAGGCGGTCGTCGTTTAGAATGTATTGTTCTCCACTGGAAATAACAGAAATTACTAAATTGTTATGTTCTCATGAAGAATAGTGTTCTATGTTTATTTGTTTTGCTGTTACTTATCTTATTTTGTTCTGTTTTGTTTCTGTATCTTGTTTTTATAGCCATAGATCCTCTTTCAACCGCTACAGCCCCCTAGCCGATCGATAGCCGGAGCCGCTCGCCAGTGATGACGTCACCGCCTGGATGGAGGAGCGACCAATCACAGCGACGTTCCCGCCAATCTCTGGTACCGCTCCTCAAGACTGCTATAAAAGGGCCTGCGCTCCGTCTGTATGTGTCATTTTGCGTGTCTGGAATAAAGCCGAGCGGTTGAGTCGAGTTCTCCTCCCGATAACCGCGGCAGCTGCAACCGAACCAAGAGGAGATGAAGCATAATCATAAAGCCGAAGTGCTAGACATCAGTGAGCCAAAAGAGTGTCACCCCAAGATCTCCGCAGTGATAACCCTCATAGTATTGGATTGTCTCATAATTATTGTCTCAATTTCGACACTTTTTTGTTCCAATAGCATATTCACCACCATGGTCACTGATATGCGTGCATTTGCTAGTGAGCGTTTGGAAGCTTCCAGCCCAGAATGAAGGAAGCTGGGGGTTGAAGAATTTGGAGAAGTCGTTTTTGGGGTGGTCGCAATCTTTAACTTTCTTCTCTGGCAGATGCTTATTCAGGGCGCAGGGGAGGCGATAGTCCGATAGAGCGATGCCAATGCTATATGGTGGATGAGGTATCGTGGCCCTGGCTATCTCCCTCAGAACGTGGTGAGTTGGCATTGCAATGTGAGGTCTGGGTACATTTGGAGAAAGGAGAATCTGAGACGTTTCTGACGATTCCCTCGCAATACCGAAGCCAGCCTAGAGGGCTATTCCACGCTGACTTTAGCAATGCTTGTCTTCATACATTGAAGTGGTTCCCAAACCAGGCCACCCAGCGAATCCAACAAACCGAGAGTATATTCTCAGAAAACGGAGTTCGGGCTTTGGTTGAGCTGGTGCTTCCTGGCTGCGAGGCAGCCATCAGACGTGCCGCGTGTTGTTGTCGCAGTGGACTCATGACTCATCTCCACTACACGGTTTGACACCCCTATATACTTGTCAAGCTAGGGGCTTTCTCAAACTGGATTTCCGTGATAATATTCAGATTCGCATTTGCATGTGTCACAATTTGTCTGTAGAGCCCTTTTCAAAAACATCTCCAAATTCTAGTTTTTGGGAAATTTGTAGGTGGAACTAAGATTATGCGTCGCAGTGTATTTCTAGCAAAACCTGGTAGCAACGTGCGGATGCACTTTCAATTTAAGAGAGGCCCTCATCAAAAGTAACCGCGGCCCGATGAGGTTTGATCTTCACAGCTCGTTTCGTCTTTGCCGTTGCGACTGGGCCACTAGTTCAGCACCCCATCACTAGCAGATACCGGCCAAGCACAGCTCTGATCAGGGTCAACCGTCACGTTGGACAAATTCAAAAAAATTTTCCCCGACGCCCTCCTTCTAGGGTCTTCGATAGCGACCCCCAGGGTTCAACCACGTTGTAGCTATTCTGTCAAAAAAATTTCCGCGATCCCCCTCCATCACCATGAGACCCAGGAGGTCCACCAACAACGACCATCACCCTTACCATCAGAGCTGTTACTGCAGGGTGTCCCATAAATATTGCAACACTTTTCTTTACTTGTAACTTCTTTCAAAATGAATGTATTCTCAAGCGGATTTACAAAAAATTTTAGCATTACATTTACATATTAAAGGAATGACATTCATTGGATATGCTCCCCTGTTGTTGTGAGTATGGCTCCCAATTGCTTCAAACGCAACCTACTGTGGCCCGCATGGCATCCTGGGGTGTTCTCTTCGAAACTTTGCAGAGAAAAGGCTCCGGCTCATCCATGTGGATGCAATGTTTAGTGCAGGCTCTGCCCTAACATAGCCCACATAGGATTGGTCCAGCACGCTGAAATCAAGGAAGAGGAGCCATTCGTTCGAGGACGTGAAATCGGAAAAAGTACCTTGATAGCGCTCCTGAACAATTTTTGGTTCCCATGCAGAAGCTGGGTCCTATTGAAAAGAAGCATCACTATCAAACTGGCTAGACAACTAGTAAAAGATGGTGGCTGGATGCCTCTTAGTCGGTTCTAATATGAAGTTGTATTCTTTGTAACAGAGCGAATGCGACCGGTGGTTGAGCCGGCCGCGTCCCGAGCATGATAAGGTTCAATCGCTGCTTGTGGCGAATATTCCTTTCACTCTCAATGCCTTCCTCAAGACCTTATGCAGGCATTCTAGGAGTTTGTAGATTCTAGCTCTGCTAAAAATTTTGTCGTCGATGAAAACGGTGCCCGTGTAATCGGCATTTTCGGCCCTCGACACCAGCTCTTTGAACTTTTTGTCTCTGCTGTGCTCCTCCCGTTGGATTGAGCAGTGGTGCTTATGCAACTTATAATGGACTGTGAGCAGTTGTTATCGAACCGTTGTGCTTTAGAAACTCCAGCGTTCTGGTCACCTTTATCGAGCCAACGAGGGTATTGCAGTCATTTCGCTCCTTCATGCTTTTCCTGAGATCCAACGCAACAGACTTGGGGGCGGCCACAAAGACTACTTTTATTGGTCTCCTCTTTAGTGCACAGGAGGCCGCGAAGCTGTTGAAATTCCAAAGAAGCGCGATGCTCATCACCGGATGTCGACCTAGCTGTATGAGAGGTTAGGCACTCTGTTGAAGTTTAGGCGCACCATGAGATGCAGGCCGAACGGTAAGCCGTGGAATTTGGCATGGTCATTGACAAGAGGATAGAGGATTGAAAGGTCTGCCAATCTCGGAAGAAAGCTATAAACACCTACAGAATTTGAGCTCAAAATTTGGTGCAATATTTATGGGACACCCTGTATAGTACCTGATTCTGAAGACCAATGGACACAGTCCAACTCCACCCACATTTGCTCCCAAACAGCCGTCGAACAGGGGATGGGGGGTATATATCAACATATCAAACAAACGACAAATTTTTTTTCTTAAACTCACAAACACGGCTGGCATCGGCCGTGCGAAGCACGACGACCCCCCTTTTCGTCGGCCGAGTACGACCCCTCGTTCGACAAAGTTCAACGGGCGGTTGACCCTGGCTATGATCCTCTCTACTGTCCTGCTTGCAAGTAGGGTTTATTTGAGGATCGTAGAGCACAATCATTCATTATTGTCACTGACCTAATTTTATTCCTAGACAGTTGACCCGTTAAGGGCTTGCTCTTCTAAAACCACGCTGTTAAGGCTCTCGAAGCAGTAACAAAAAAGACCAACAAATACTCAACATATTAACTTATTTCGCAATGAGACTGTCTTAGACAGAATAAATTTGAATTTGAATAGAAATGAGACAGCAATTATGAGACAGCCCAATACAAAACTTGCACCATGTGAAGGTTGTCCTTTTGAATTCAATTCTAGTTCTTTACTGAACAGCTGCCTGAATTCCTACCAGAGAGTGATAATCTGGTTCAGCCAGAAGGAATATCACATTCCATCACAGAGGAACGGTGAGGAACAAGCCGTAGGCATGATAGGATAAGTAAATATTTCCTTTTTCTGTTTTCCCATGACTGGAAACGTAGTATAATCTAACATTCCCCAAAGCTTGGATGCTGAACTCTGCAACGGTCGACGCGACACCGTGGGCTGCGGCGACTGGCGTGGCGACTTAGCCACCGCCGCGATTGAATCGTCACGCAACCCTCGCCGTGACGGCGTGACTATGATTATCGTAATTTAAGCAAACAGATCAAGAAAGAAACATACCATGCACGATATCGTAACAGTTCCACCTTGTGTAAAGTCTTCAGAGTTACTGCTCTTTGGTTGACCACATAAGTTCCAGTGCTTCTTCGTACGCTGTTACTTTTTGTTTCTGCGACAAATGGCGTCCTCCATGTGCGTGGGGAATGGATCGCAGAATCACTGCCTGGAAAGTCATGAAATTTCTAATTTCTTTACCTTCGAGGTCCAAAATATTAAATTGTCCCAAGAGAT